GATTGAGTTGCAGTTACAGACAGACAACACAGACGGTCTCGTGGAGGTTGCTAGGCTCCACGATGCAGAGCTCCGGATGCTCTGGGTGAACGAGCCACCAAAATAGAAATCGTAAGTACATCTTATAAAAGTTGCGTTCGAAGACGGGAAGAGGTGGGCGGTGGATCAGGCCGCCACGCTCCTCTGGATCTCACACAGGGTTTCTATTACCCTGCCGTGTACCCAGAGTCCCCACGAGATGGATGTGGAGTCCTCTTCGGCTTGGGCGGAAACCGCTCAAGCCTCTTATACGGCTAACAAGCCAATCATTAGCCGCCACGTGTGAATAATTTAGCACCAGCCAATCATGGGGAACGAATTTGCATACCGGTGGCGGGAACTCTTTTGCACCGTGCATTCCTCTTGCAACATGAGCAATGCACCCTGCAAAAGAAGCTGCAGAAAAGGCGGGAAACTTGTCCCCGCACCAGGGTTTCCTCCGCTACAGGAAACTCTCCCGTGCAATGCTCTGCAACTTGGCGGGGATAATTCTGGTGCCGAAGCGCACACACAATCATGCCTTTTGGGTCATGACACACATGCTACCTAGAATGTGCCACACTTTTTTGAGTGTTTAATCATGTAACTTTGAACATTATCTTAATGTAGTTTTTCATATTGTACTATAAGAATAGATGAACTTGCACTAAATTCAATTACTTCATTTACAGTTTTTGTCTATGACCAAAAAGATGTGGAAAATTCTGTGTGTGGTCATTCTGTAATCTTTCTTGAAGTGTACAGAGTTGGAGGCAACCATGAAGCTGTCAGTCAAGGCGTTCTCTCCTTGCTTGTCTGTTAGCTGGGGCTTGTTCAGCACTTCCAACTTGAGGCAATCTCAGATGTGTCCCAGAAGCTGTAGGTGCCGATTCATCCTGCTCAAATCATCAGTGACTGAAAGTTTGGAACGTGTGCTTGCTCTCGCTCACTCTGTTTGTAAGGGCGTAGCCTTGAAGTTAGCTGTTAGGCTGCATGGATCTTCACAGGAGAAAATGGAGATAAGCGTAATAATCCCTGTTTTACAATATTAGTAAGTATTTTGGTTGCTGCAGAGAATAGCCAGTAGGTTTCCCTTGTCTCCTGTGCTTCAGAAAGTTTCTCAGAGTTCGTTTTGTAGCAATATTATAGATAACAGTTCTGGGTTTTCTGTATTTGTTTCAGACTGCCTTTTACATTTGTAACCAAGGAGGTGGCTGATGCGACTTGTGATTGCCTTCTTGCCCAGGCTGAGCAGGCTGAGAAGATGGGCAAGTCAAAGACGGCAGCAGAGCGCATGATACTGGAGGAATTTGGACGTTGTTTGATGAAAGTAATTAACTCTGCAGGAAAGTCCAAAAGTGACCCTTGTGCTATGAACTGCTGACTCTTGCACAGGAGCCATGATAAATTGGACTGAATAGAACACTTAAGGCACAGGGACACTTTGATTCACAGCAGAGAATTTATTAATAATATTTCATTTTAATTTGGTGCTTGTTTTAAATTAACTTGCATAATACTGAAAAAAATCTTTTATAACAAGGAATAGTGTCTTTTAAATCTTAGTTTAATCATCTTCTACTTATGACAATATGTAAAGGTAAATTCTCTCTCTCTCATATAATTGCCTAAAGAGTATATATAAATTATTATAATATATTATTTACAATGTATAGAGTTACATAACTTTGTTCATATGGTGGGTGGGGGGATAGACACTGTCAGAAAGCAGACATGTATGGCAACAGACCTAAAGGACAGGTATCAGTATATTCAAGGAAGAGTTGACTGAAAGAAATTCAGAGATAGTAGCACCTCTTTAAGAGAAAGGTAAGAAATCTGCATTGAGAACCAAATTCAGCAAGGGCCTGAAGCACTTCTGTAGCATTAAGCATTCAGACAGTGAACACACATCAGGAGTACTTTAAAATGTTTCTTATTGAGTCTGTATTGAAGACCCTGGCTGAAGTGGGCCAGAAGGGCAAGGCATGGTTTTTCAAGCAAAGGGTATATTAAGGGTGTTTATAACCAAATCTTTTGTGTTTGAAAAGAGCCATGTGCAGTACTACCCATCCAGCTGGTATCGTGGAGCTTGACCTTGTGAGTTCCTTACCTGGTGAACCTTTCACTGAATCTGAGGAGAGTTTACAATGTTTCAGACTTTCCAGAATCAATCTGGAAGTATATTTTTAATGATAGGAAGTGAGATCATGTGTATCCACTAGGATAAGACAAAGTTATCACAGTTCAGGATGGAGATTTAAAACTACCTGCATCAGTTTTATTCTGAGAACACTTGTGAGACCAGGTTCCATGTAGAGTTGATCTTTTTTTTGATATTGCTTCTCTAATCTTCCTGTCATACTGGCTTGTTTTTTTTAAGTGCTATTTAGATGACTACCATTTGAATCAGGACATAAAAGTACATGGGTGCAGAATTAAGGCCACCATCAAAAATGGACATGTTTACGCCTTGGGAATGGAGGACACCAAATATAACTGTGTATAGAAATGTTCCAGAGTGGGAACTTTCTCCAGCATTTGTTTCAAATGATCTCCAATCACTTGTTTTGATAATGTAGCACATTATCAAGCTGAACTTGTTAAGCTCCAACATTAATGGAAACAAAACAACCATGTTTAAATTCACAGGCATTTTTGTTAAACATCTTAATTCTGTCTATCAGAATGATTGCTACTCTTTTTCCAAAAGGGATTTTTTTTATTCTCTCCGTGTATCACTGTATATATAACATACTTTTCCATGTGTGTATGGGTAGCAAATACACACATCTGAAAAGGGAATCCATCATTCATTTAAAAAGTACAATTTTTTTAACAATTAGGTCTTGGATTTATAAATGTCAGTGCAGTAACTTTAAATGTAGCTAGTACAGACATTCAGCTTACTTCTAGTGTATCAATATAGTATGTCCAGTAAAATTTGTATAAATGTAAATTAGTGTAAGTGAAAAAAAATAATACCTAATCAAGTTATTTTTCAAACAGATTGCAATATGCCTTCTTTTGCCCAGAACTAAATTTGTTAATTTTGTACATAATCCATTTTATTCTGAATTGCACCTTTTGTGATGTATTTATATATAACGTGCAGAAAATGCTTGTGAAACTTGGATTACAGTTGTAGATGATGTATGATGGCATTGCTTGAGAATATTTTGCTTGTAAAGGTTTTGAAGGTGCAATCAAATGCTTTTAGTTCTGTTTGTTTTGAACAAGCTTTCTCAATGTTAAAATGTTAAGCTTGAATTTTCCTTCCTTCCTTCCCCCGCCCCAGTGCACACAATGCTTTTTGTACTTCATTAGCCATTTGCATCAAACTGTGGAACACAATTTACAGTCAAGTTCATCCAGTAATTTTAAACAAAATTTGGGGTGAGCCAGGGGTTCATTTTCTAGGTCTGTTTGCATCAAAGTAGAAAAATTTTAAATTTATATTTACTAGACCTATTCAAAGAACACACTTTTTTCTATATTGTAAAAACAGAGCAGTCAGACAAATTGCAAAGAAAAATAAACATTTATACTATTCTGTATATGTTATTTTTGCACTCTTACTTTAGAGCTGATATGAACTCCCTATAGTTTAGTTGGATACCTGAGTTGTTAATCAGAGGTCAGATTCTCATCAAAGCAGCTGCCATTAAGACTCTGGATTCTGTAGACCTCTTACTTCGCTCAAAGCATGTGATGGAAATCAGTCAGACTTCAAAACATTCCAAAAGTCGTGTGTGTCTGAGATGGATTTAAGCTGTTGCTTAAATAATCTGGAAATGGGCCAAAATATATACCTACAAGAGTAGGTAATTGGGCCCAAACAGGCACTGCTGTATTGTTACCTGTCTTGTATGACTAACTGGTTCAGAGAAGCATGAACCTTTTGTAGGCAACAGCACTCATAGCATCTGAAGAAGTAGGCTGTTGTCTACAAAAACTCACACTGCTCTGAGTCTCTAAGGTGCTACCCAGCCCTATGTTCTGCCAAGCTAACATAACAAATCAACTTTCTTCTCTCATGCATGAAATGCCATTTTTTGTACTTGCAGTACCTGGAGAAACATTAGACCCTGATCTAGCAAATACACCTACATAGGCAGACTCACATGCCCATCTAAGACTCTAGTGGATTTAGGTGAACTTCACACAGGCAGGAAGAGTCTATCCCCAGAGATACATCTGCAAAATCAAGTGCAAAATGTTCAGCTTCAGCTTTGGTAGCCTTTGATTAGTTGGGACTTGGCTTTTTTTTTATCTTTCTTGAGGAGAAAGTTCTTTGCAATTTCTTACGAGGTTTACTGCATAAGAACTGGAAGTTCATTAGAATTAAAGTAGCTGCTGCTTGCTACGAAGTAAAATTATTTCTATTTTGGGATTTTTGTATTCTCTTTTTTTTTTTGCTGGCTGTTTCATTTAGGGCTTTTTCTATAGTTTTTCACATTGGTATGAAATTGGTGCTCAAGGAAATGGAGGATGGATGTTACTGCCTAGAGCAGAGGTTGGCAATGTTTTTGGATGGAGTGCCAAAAACACTTGTAACCTCAACTTCTAAGATGCTGGCATGCCAAGGGTGGACAGAGGGGGAGCCGTGAGGGGGCCCAGATCCTTGTTGTGTCAGTGCAGCCTTGGCCCCTTCCCCACTGTCTGCCAAGCAAAAGGCCTTCATGTGCCACACTCTGGCACCCATGGGTTGCCTACCCTTGGCCTGGAGCCAGTGGCTCCAGCCCTATGGACATGTTTCAGGCAGGGGATAGCATATGTCTACTCTTCCATTGTTAAGTAAAGGTTGTCAGTACTAAGCAGGCAGTGAATGGATATGACCTAATCCTTCTGGATTAGGAGGAGTCACTAAATATATTTGGGAACTAGACCAAGAGGTGTTGGGGGAAAATAACACTTTTTTTAACCAAATTTTGCTGGCCTAAATAACTGCTTCTCCTCAGATTTCTCCCCGAAAGGTAAGGTGGGTCTTTGCTCTGTCCGTATCTGTCACTAGTTTAATTCAAAATCACTAAGAGGATGACTTGTGGTACACAAATGAAACTCTTAAAGAAACACAGAACAGTCACTATTTTGTTAATATATATTTTATACAGGACAACAGTAACAACATCAAGTATAAATACTATAAAACCTATAACCAGAACAAAGGGACAGCAATCACAAGCCATATTTATTGGACCACTGCCATAGTTGGCTCTGTCTGCCTTTTCAGACCCAGTGCCAGGGCTTACCTTACCCTATTACAGGTCACTGGTCTTTTATAAGGGTATATGACAGGAAGGATAGCCCTCAACAGTATCTCTCTTCCCGAGGTATTGGGGGGGGGGGTAGATACTCGCCAAATACTCAGGAAGCCACTACCAAAGCCCTTAAGCACCTGATAGGAAAATGTCAGGGAGCCCACCTCTGACTGAGTATAGCTGTGTGCTGAGGAGTGGTCTCTGGCTGCTCCAGGGATCCTTCCTCCTTGCAGAGGACCCAGATTCTGTGGAGGATCTGTACCAGCTACCACCCTCTCTCGGTCTCCTCAATCACTGTCTCTATCAATCCTTACAAGGCCCTCATGCATTCCTATACAGTCTCTTCCACAAGCATACCCTTGCCACCTCACACACAGACACATGCGCACGCACACACCAAGCCCCTCACTCAGAGACCTTTTAAAGGGCTGGTGCACACAGCTCTTTGGATGGTGCACTCATCCCCAAAACATGCACACTGCACTCTATCCATTATACTTAAGGGTGTTGTATGGAAAATTACCAGACTTAGGACCAGCGTGACATCATTTGTCCTACTTACAACCTCACCTGTGAATGGCCTTATCAGCTCAAACTGTTCTGGTCCCATAACTTAACATGAGCCAGCCACGAGCATCTTAATTTGCTCTCAGCAGAGGCAGCTGAAGTGTCAAAGTGTTACAGCTGTCTCTGGCAGAGACTGAATTACATTAAATGCTCTAAAATTATACAAGATACAGTCCATACCCTAAAAGATGTAACGATCAAAGGACAGCGGGAAAGCAGCTGGCATATAAGTAGCCTTAAAAAAAACAATTCTAGTTTTATGGATTATCTCTTGTTTCTTTTGCCATGATTAGCAAGCTTCCTGTAGGCATGTTGGGTGGATCTTCAGGAAGAGCACAATGACCTTGAGGAGCAGCTCAGTTTGATTGACCTAATCATGAGCAGAGATGTGAGAGAGCATCAAGCCATCTGGGAGAAGCAGACAAACTGAGGTATGGAAGCACTGGTGAAACAACAGAGTTCAGGAGAAACATGCTTCAAGGCAGAGTGAGTAAGTAAAGAGATGGTTGTGGTACTTGGTCTGCAAGATGAGATGAAGAAATGACCTTGGTGTGGTGGAAGGCAGTAGAAGAATTCAAAGGAAGAATGGCATGGTCAGGATGACTGGCAGCTGAATTTTTGTATGGACTGGATGAAGGGGATTGTTGGGGTGGCAAGAAGACTGTCATTAGTCAAGAGGTAACAGGGTCTGGGCAAGCACTAACCTATAAAGAAAGGGTTTACAATATAGACATGAAGGAGAAGCAGCAGCAGGATTTGGGCATAGTCTGAACCCACTCAGTAGTGGGAGAAGAAAGATCAAAGGTAACTGGACAATAAATCTGAGTGAAAGAGCAGTGTCAGGAGGATGGGAAAGAGAGGGTTTGGGTGGAACTTGAAGAGTTGGTTTTAGGCCTGTTAATTCAATGGGAACATGGTGAGGAAGAGTTCACAGATTCAGGATTGGACCAAGGAAGTGCGTGAATATGTTCAAGATAAGCTGAAGTACAAGATATGTCCGGTTTTCTGTTCAGGCCTGGGCATTTGATCAATTGGTATTGTCAAATCATGGTCAATTTGTTTAAGCATTAATTTTATTAGAACAGTGGAGAGAGAGATGTTTTATCATCATTATGCTAACTACAAAAAAGTGACCTGTTATAGTGAAACAATGAAATTATTCTATTAAAACATTATAATGAATGTTTATAACCACTACTGTTAGGCAAGTGTAAATGTGAACAATATGCAAGACTGATCAGTATTTCTTTTCCTTGGCTTTTATCCTGAGACCCCAGGGTCAGCTTGAACAATTTAAAAAAATGAAAATTAAACAAATAAAATCCATGGAACAGCTATAAAAGACAAAAGTAATTTTTTTAAGTGTAGTTATGCTAAGTAAACAGCAGGCCAGCTCTTGAAGTGTTTTGCATTTGGAGATGCCGGCCATCACAGCAGATGACCATAGGAGAAACTTGTCTATGCTGCTGGTTTTGGTTCTTCCCTAAGCACAGAGCAGCTCCTGGAGCTGTGTGAGACTAAAGGGGTGGGGGGAAGACAGCTGGAAGAGTTCGAGAGAAGAGCAGGATGGGGAGTACCTCTTCCTGACTCCTGCAGGTCTGAGCGCCAAGGACCCTTCACTTCTACTATTCCTAACAAATTACACTATGATGCAATATAAAAGGTTAGACTGCCACCTATACTTTGATCAAATAATAGGCAGTCAATTGGCTGGCTTGCCAACATTACTTCTGTTTCAATGGATATATTTAATTCTACAGTGATTTTGGTATTTTGATAGAACACTTTTTTAGTTTGGGTATTTTTTATATTACTTGTTTCACTCAATGATGCCACTCTGGCGTGCGGGATCCAGGGCTGGTTTAGATCAGGTCCATGCTCCAGCTCTGTGTGCCAGGTCCAGCATGCAGGCCTGGTCTGAAATGGGTGCTGCACACAGACACACACCAGTGCCTCTGGCACAGTCAGATGAGTTTGATACCCCTGATAGGAAGCATTCCTAATGAAGTCCTTTTTGAAGCAGGGACAGGAGGATAGTGTAAAGTAGCAAGCTGTCTCCAGGGTCAGTGTCTTGAGGTCTCCTGGAGCTACTAAGACAGTGATTCTCAACCTTCTTTGTACCAGGACCCATTTGTTATCATCAATGGCCAGTTCCACCCCGTGTGTGTGTGTGTTGGGGGGGGCAAGCAGCCTCTCATAGGCTGGAACTGTGACAGCTTGTAAGGGAAAAAACACCATTTCCTACATTTTCCTCCTTTAAAGGAGAATCTATTTTTAAAGTTTGCTCACGACCCTTTCATATATCCTTGCAACCCACAGGTTGAGAAATGATGCTTTAGGAGAGAGGTTGATGGTTCCAGTGAGAGCTGGTAATTTCTGCTACTGAAACATGTTAGAGAGTAGAAAACAAAACAGATGTGGATTTCTCACAAGTGAGTGACATCTGCTTAGTTTCCACTGTTAAAAACTAATGTTCAGGTTCTACTTTAATCAAATCATCGTTCAAGGCACTTGCCTTCCAACAACATTTTGCTCTGTTTTCATTGGTGGAAGATGACAAGTTCCAATGCGGTAGTTTCCCTCTGGCGAGTGCAAAGCTGTTTGCATAGGAGACTATTGCTTACCTCCATTTGAAAGAGGGAAACAGCCAGAAGTACAACTGATTGACTCCTGGTCTGTCACCTTGAGCAAGTGGGAACAGTGTCTCCTGTTCTGTTCAGTGGCCATTACTGACTAGAACAGCTTCATAGATAAAAGTTAATTCCATGCACAACAGAGGTGCATAACTTCCCTTGTACATAAAGAACTTAAGGATGGGGCTTTGTGCAGGCTCCCCTGAGCTGAATTTGCCCCATGGGGGAGCAATGGCACTAGCAGCCTTCTGCTGAAGGTCAGCCTTATTGTCCTGCTGAGTTTCAAGAAATGGATATAAGGCAACTGGGGGATGTTTGTAATGGCACATAGCTAGGCTATTTGATCATTAAAGATTGGCCAGAAATCAGCAAATCATTCTTCAAAAGGCAGTCTTGAATGGAGAAAGGAAACAACGTTCTCTGGCAAAGCAGCATAATCTCGTTTCTTGCAGCCTTGTTCTTGCATGTTGTCACTTTATCCTGCTTTTGAATATTTGTGGCCTATGCGATTTTTTTTTTTTTTTTTTTTTTTTTTTAAGCAGATGTTTGGTCCCGGTTTTAAATGAAACAATGCTTGTTTACTTCCAGTTGAAAAATGCCCTGCAAGCTGTTTGAAGTCTGTGCTGCTACTGCTTAACACACAGCTCCATGCATTTATTATAGTAGTGCATGCAAACGTTTTGGACAAAGTTTACAAGAAAAAACTGATGCTATCCTTGCTGTAGATTCAGTAAGCTCAACTTCATCCCTGCCTTGAGAAATGGGGTAGATTATTATAGCAGATACTCTGCTATCTAGATATGCAGCAAGAACATAACCTGATAGCAAATACGACTATCACCCTACTTGGCAAGGGGGTACAACTAAGTAGCAGTTCAACAAGGCTTTTATTATCTAATGCAAAGTATTGTATCAAGGAGAGCTTCCCTGCAACAGAAGTCATCTGCACATGAAGTCCTGGAAGCCTACTCAAGTACTCTGCCTGCTGGCAGTGTAATTTGAATCAGTAAATAGTGGTGGTTACTTTCTTTGTGGAAACTGGTGTACAATAGGCTGCTTTGTGACCTGTTCTGAGGAATAAATCACACAATGGGTTAGCTGTAGGAAAATAAGGTCCTACTGAATAGCACATAAGGGAAGTAATTGGACTGCACCCACACCTAGATGCCCATCACAGTAGAGCAGTGATTTTTTTTCAACCAGGGTTCTGTGGCACCTGGGGGTGCCTTGAGATCTCTTCAGGTTGCTACATAATGTTAGCACTGTTAGATGTACAAACATGACTCTAAAGATGGACCCAACAATTTCAAATAAAAATCTATATATTCTGACCTGTGGTGGTCTTTTTGGGTTCTTGGCAACAGAAACATTGCTGTATTTTTTTTCTATAGTGAATAATGCATTAAAACTCTTAAGAGCTGGCATTTTCTGAGGGGTGCCTTGAATCTAAAAAGGTTGAGAGCCACTTCAGTAGAAGAAGGTGCAGTAGATGCCACCTGTGGATTGCAAGAGAAAAGTAGCATTTTAGTTGCCTTAGTACTGCGTTGATTTATGGAAGGATAAGAATATTCAAAAAATGTGTACAGCAGGGATTGCCACCACCAGGGAAGAAATCCTGCCTTATCTGAACATCAAAAAGCAACTCACAAAGATGTTCTTGTGGGCCCAGAGGAACAGACTTCCACCTTCAGCTTCCTCTGCAAAATGATGTGTATTTTCTACCTATGGGGACTTTTTACCATTTTTAATTATCCCTGAGCCTGACAAAGGGTGTGCGTGCCCGAAAGCTTGCAGAAAAAGATCATTTTTTTGCAATTTCTTAGTTGGTCTAATAAAAGGCATCTTTTTTTGAACCAAGAATTCTAGAGTTTTGCATTTCTTTTTGTCTCAGACCAATACTGCTACCAAATACATGCTTTAGATCAGAGGTTGGCAACCTTTCCGCCACCTCCTCCCCCCGCATCTCCCAAGCTTTCCCCCTGGCTCCCTGCTGCCGGCCATAGCCATAAATCTCCTCCTCATTCAGAGAACTCAAGCAGCCTAAGCTTACCATCACTAAAGATACCTGTTCTTTCGGAAGCAAGGGCAAGAGCAGGCATGAAAACAGCAGGGAGGGCTACAGAGAACAGTGCTGTAGAGGGCACAGGCAGCTCAGCACAGCTTTATGCCGCTTGGATTCAACCTCTTTGTGGGCTAAATCTAGCCCATGGGTTGCTGGTTGCCTCCCCCTGGTATGTTACTGCTTTGAACTTCTACAGCACTGTCAACATTACACAAGGGAAAGGGGCTTCAACTGAGCTCTAGAAATGCTGCAAGATAGCTCCTTGCTTTGAGGAAGGGAAGAAAATGTACAGCTTCATTCCAACAGTAACTGTCTTTTATAGCACATGATTTTTAGTCTAGGAGCCTCATTCATGGGTGACAGAGGCATGCAAAGGAGTTCTTGAATTGGCAAACAGGACTACACTGTGGGATTGCATTATTTCAGTAATGTGCATAAAAACTCAGGAGCATGCAACCTTGGGCTCCTCCATTCTGGTTCTATAACACCATCTGAATTCAGGCCCTTCTTAATATTTGGCCTGTAGCCAGTCTGCCCTGTCCTCTGCCCCTTACCCTATCCAAGATTCATCTGGCTTTGCTGGGCTACTACTTGCATATGACACCACCTCACTGGCAGTGAAGCTGGTGATTCCAGAGCTGGCTGTCTTTGGAATTGATACTGCAATCAAAGCTGAAGTATAATGTTAAACGTATGCTCATTGATAGTCTCTAGTGGGTGGGACTGAACTACTGTAATTATTAGACTTCTGGGGGCGTTTTAGGCAAGAAAGGAAAGAAACTTCATTTTGGTGTTCAACTGACTTCTAGCTGGAGCAATCAGGTTTTGCTTCGGCTTCTCCAAGACTTTAAAGTGGGTGTGGGATTTGCTGTGTCCTGTCTTATGCCATTTTGTAACATTACTATGCACTTCCCTGAAAGGTGATTGTTTCAGGGGCATGTGAAACAGCCATTATATCTCCTCCCCATCTACTTGACAAGTATACCAGGAGAGTTAAAGTGTGTAAACAATCTGAGGTCCCCAGTCAAAATCTTTGCTTTTTGTTTATCATTGTACACACTCTTATCTTAAAGTGCGTACATAGTTCTTGGATTTTCTGTTCTTAAAACCAATTCCTGTTGGGATGTTTCTTTCATGATGCCATTACTGGGTTTGCTCCTACCAGGTGAGGTACACCCAGACCCCCATTCAAGTCAACTGAACTAGAAAGCATGCAGCACCTCTCAGGATTGGATGCATTAAGTACAAGTTATAATAAATCCCCACAAACAGGAAATGAAACAACAATGGGAGAGGAGGAGCTATTAAAAAAAAAAAAAAAAAAAAAAAAAAGGAACAACTGAGTAAAACGTAAGAGTTGTTAACTCCTAACAACATGGAGTAAAGCAGTGGGGGCCAACCTTTATGACAGGAGTGCCACAAATTAGCTCCACCCCATCCCAAAGTACCACTCTGATCCCCTTCCCCTGCCTGACTTGCTGCTCTTTCTGCTCCCTACCTGATCTGCTGCTCTGCTAACCACTGTCTGCCCCTCCCAGATCTGTTGTGTGTCCTGTGCTGCCAAGCTGCAGAAGTGTTGCTAAATGGAAGGCCCAAAGCCTGTTTCTGAGAGACCGTAGCATGAACCTTTGCAGATGTGACAACTAACTTAGCAATAAAAGCCATCAAACAAACACAATTAAACTAAGCACAAGACCTGAAAGGATATAAGGGAGACCCACACATTAAATAATTCCAAAATACTATATCATAGCTTTATCTTAAAACAGTAGAAGTACTGAATGATGTAACTAAATGTATCAGATGTTACTTTGTTGTAATAGATATATTTTTAACATAAGGATGCTTAGATAATCTGTAAAAACAAAATACAGCCTTGCCATAGAAGACCATAAACTAAGGTAAAAAAACAAACAAAAAAACAGGCCAGCATTGAGCAACACTCCACAGTGGTGAAGGAAAGGACATAAGAAACCCTCCTCCTTTCTTTCTCAAGAATATAAATCCTAACTGACATCTTCTAAGTCCACAAGAGATCTAGAGATTTAGTCCTGTTCCAGAAGTTTCAGTGAAGCAAAGAAACTTAAATAAAAATCAATCCGAGATCATTTGTTAGAATTGGCCAACTATAAACATTGGGCGTAGGCTGGAAGGAAACTTGCAGGACTCAAAGCTGAGACATGCTGCCAATCTGTGCCACCCTCCTTCCACCTCTCCACTCTCCCCAGCTGGTGTAGACGAGATCTGTATTGTGCTGTTGCAGGTAGCAAGATAGATTTGGGATAAATGTTTGTTTTCATGTTTTAAAGTGGAAGCAAATAAAAGGTTGGGCTGTAGACCTGTTTCTGCATCTTTAACCAGTAATCTACCCACAAGGGTACCTGTAATCTGGGTAACACCTGTTCCACTTGTGGTATGCATGCCACAGGTTGGTCTCCCCTAGAGTAAAAGAACATGAAACATGTTAACAGAATGAAGTAAAGGACCCCAAAAGGTGAATACTAAAAGAATGTCCTAGGGAGAGGGGGGGGTTGAAGGAATATAAAACAAAAGAAACCAAAAAAAAAAAAGGTGCTTTTTTATTATTTTGTGTATTTGATAACATTTACTGTCCAAGGTTACTTCAGTACACAGGTAAACCAACTAAAGTATCTCATCCAGGGCAGGAGGCTTTTATATATGGCATTGCATGCATATGATAGCCTATACACTGCTTTCTCAAGTCCCAGTTACTGTGCATAGCTTCTTCCAAATGAGCTAATCTACCTTAGGCACTCAATTGCATTTCACCATCTTGCAGAGTCAGCTGATAGTGCACCTATGATCTTATCATGTCCCTTCTTTGTCCAACACTCCCTCCATTTAATCTTCTGCTCCCTTTCTGTGCAGACCAATCTTCCAGCTCACCCTTTCCTTCATATCTTTCATGAAATCTGCAAATCGTGACCCTGGCTGTCAAACCATCTGCGCTGCCTTCAATGGACTTTTTAGGGCTGGGGGCAAACATTTCCTCAAGTATTACTTTCCAGTAGGTTTTCTACTGTGCCTGTCTTTATACTGCAAGCTCTGCATGGTAGGGTCAAACACACCCTTAACTATTAACCAAGTGACTTCCCACTTTCTGTATAGGATGGTATAGATTTAAAAACATGTAAAATCACTCACTTACTCTACCCACATCTAGCTCCATGACACCTTCTCTGCCCCCAGTCCTCTCCCATTTAGTTTTATTGCTCACCACAAAGGTTTCTTATTCCTATTGAGGTACCTAAAATCAAGATCTCTTCTCATCTGTGTTATTAAAGCAACTAAAGGGAACTTATTCACTGACCACTGCCTGAGGCAAGCATAGAGTGATTTATATCAGGGATGTTCAACCCCCCCCTGACCACAGGACAATGTCATCCCCCTGGGCCCAAGAAGCTGGCAGTGGAGGGGAGTGGTGGCAACTAACTGCAGCTGCCCTGCTGTCAAATTTCCAGATTAGTAGGAGCCCCATGGATAAACAGTGTGGCTCTGTGAGCTAGACTGAGCATGCAGGGCTGAGCGGGGCAGCACAGGACAACAGGGAGCTGAGTGGAGCAGCAGAGAGCAAAGTGGAGCAGTGGAGAATGGTACTGGGCACAGTTGCGCTGCTGGGAGCCAGGCCAGATGGCGGGGAGTGGAGCAGGGTGGCGCAGAGTCTGATCCTTAGGTGCAGGGCCCAATCTAGCCCACAGACTAGCCCTGTGCCACCTCCAGCCCACACAGCCAAAAATTTTCTATAATCCATAAGAACAAATAAAGCAATGTTTCTATGGCAAATTTTTATATTTTTTAAAATAAAATTGCTAAGCCATTCTGCAATATCCACCATGGAGCTATCAGCAACTATGCTAGTCCATCAGTGACTTCTGATGGATAAAGATCAGATGAACTGAGCGTTCATCAGAGTAAGCAGCTGAGAACACAAATAGCTGTTCTATAAGATTGCCTCCCCTACAACTCTACCCAAGAACCTCAATGTACATTTCCAATTGCCAACAAAATCAAGGCCTGCCATTTTCTATAATCTGCAGTAGCTTTGCAGTACTTTAAGTGGGAACCTGGGATAAAAATCAAACTGCTTTCCATTTCTAACACAAGATTGCCTGTCCTTGCTGGACTCCCTTTATTAACCATCCAGAGACAATTCTACTGAGATATTGAATGGAAAGCACCATCTCAGTTCTCTGATAGCTGAACTGTACAGAGCACCTGATCTAAACATTACTCAAGGGGAGATCTGTTAACATGTAACAAATGAATGAGTCGTTATGGCACAGGTAAGATTTGAATAGATTTATAAGTCTTTAATGAGGATGGAAATGAAGCTCTCCTAGGCAATCTCTTCAATCCATGCCTTCCAGAACAGTATTCCAAACCCCATGTTTTTGCAAGTTCAGCTTTGATATGTAAATAACATTGTACTATTTCCCTTAACAGGACTGTATAGTGATTGACAACATGCAATTCCCCGTCCCATAGATGATCAGTTAAGTTGGGGAAGAAGGGAGTGTGCCCTGAAAGCTCATGTAAAATTTTCTGTTCTAGATACAAATCCCTTTGTTTTGGGTTTAAGCTAGAGTCTTCCATTCTCACATATGTCCTCAGGACTTGCTCAGCAGTACTGACAATCTGACGCATGCTCTCTGAAGGCAAACTCAAGACACCCATCTTTTTTATGCACAACAGAGAACCACAGTTTAGGATTTCATGATCCAACTCAGAGAGAGAAGCAAAGCAAGCTTCACATTTTTTAAGAGCTGCTAACTTCTCAGCAACAAAGCCAGCAGTGCCAGTGATGCTTTCTTCATACAGTGACATATCTATCAACACATTGCTCAGTGGCAAGTACAAGGAAACAAGGCCAGCAGAGTACATGTAATCCACTGATATACTCTCCGTCCCACCCAGAGTAAATTGAGAAAATGCTTTGTGAAGTGTTAAGTCTTTACTGCGAAGGAGAGAAGCATCTAAAGTGCTTGTATCACCTACTAGGTTATTCTTCTGGGATCCTGGCATCAAACTATCCCTGGTCAGCAGCTGACGATAAGCAGCCTGGAACATGGTGCATGTAGGATTATTGCTACCTGTACATGCTTGTTTGAGAGTCCCAAGGAACTGTTCCAGGTGGTCTAGGCTGAATGCATGAGTTAGGAGGTAGCAGAATGCTGTGCTCTCTGGCAATATGTAGTTGACATAAAGCCATTTTAAGCTTTCAGCATTAAGCAGGAAGCCCAGAAATCCTAATTTCCGTTTGCTTTTCAGAACACACCTCCCTGTAGCATCAGTTAACGTGACGAAGATGCTCTTGGCCTCAGTTAAGAGGCAACTGATCTTGGCATAATTTTGGGGTGACAAAGGCCCTTTCAATCCTTTCCCATAAGGGCTTCTGACATGAAAAATGTCAGAGAGACTACTCACCAAGCGCACAAGTCTGATGGTACCTTTACAGTTCTGAAAAGAAGACAGGCCAGACAGCTGGAGCCACTGCAGTGCGCTCGCAACACCATCACTGAACAGCTGTGCAGCATAGTTCACCTTCAAGTAACAGCTCTCCCTGTTTGTGAGTGAGCCCAACAAGCAGCTGCTGCTGGTGTGTAATAGTCTCTTCTCCTGCAAAGCCGCTAGGTCCACTATATGCTGCCAGTGGGCTGTTTCACAGGGGTGCTCTATCCTGTGAAAGCACTGAAATGCATTCCTTATTAGCTGCAGCAGGTGGCAAGTGTCAAAGAAGTAGGCAATCTGATGAGTGGAGCTGTGAGGGTGCTGAAAAGTGCACCGCATATTGTCAACATCCATGCGCACACCCAATGCCTTTGCTGTCTCCATGCCATGAGCACTGGCAGCAGAAGTCACAGAGAGAACCACAATACCGATATTGCTCAGCTTGTTGATAGTCTGATGCAGCAGTTGAGCTAGCATATGGCCAGTGGCTCCATTTAGAAAGAAATAACCCAAAGGAGCTGTCCAGCAACCAAGAACCCCTACTGCCATTAAGACTATAGCTTCAGAGGCCTGCGGTGCTTCATCAGCATCTAGTACTCCTACTCCCAGATCCATAAACCCGGTCAGATGTTGAATCCTGGGGTCCCAATCCAACTGTTTCCTGAGAGCCAAACCATCTACTAGCAGGGAACAGTATTGATAGGCCTGTTCACCCTTCTCTGCTTTTTGCTGCAGGTGAGAAAAGATGCTATTGCTGAAGCCTGGATTAGCATCATCACTAGACAACCAACTGGAAGAGAAAAGGAGGAAATAATTAGGAGTGATACTTTAAAGGAGATAGAGACAATGGGTTTTATGACTTGGTAAAGTGTTAAACAGAACAGATATTCAATGCAAATTAATACTCAGAAACTGCATATAAGGCACTGAAACCCAACAGAATGAGATGTTCAACTACTGTCCTGGAGACCAGCTTTCATACTTCGCTGTTCCTGCCTGAAACCCTGGCCAGTCTTTTCTCCACAATATTCTCTTTACTATTTTAAGGGTTTGTCTACACACTAACTGTGAGGCAGCCTACTCCACTTTGCAAGTGTACTACGTTTCCCTGCACTGAGTTAGCACAGAGTATCTAGCACGCTGTAAATTCATACACTATTACTGCACTTAACTTCCCCCTCTAAACAAGCCCTGTTTCATGCGTCTGCAGTCTAGCTCTTTCTTACTTTATAGCAACCTAGAAACCTAGTAGGGTAGCAAGAATGAAGACTCACATTGTTAAACTGGAAGGATGAGGCAAGGGAAAAATCTTTCTTAGATAATCATAGGCTTTACTACTGTAGATGTGGAGCGTGCAGGCGAACTGCCGCATTTCTGTGGAGTATTCTGCCATCTGTCTCCAGCCAGGCAATCCCCATGGCAAATCTGTTTTAAGAAATAAAGAGCACCTTGGTAAGAGGCATGAAGAGTAGATTGGAAGAAAAGCACCACTGCACTGGCAGGAAATGTAGGATAAGAATGAGTTGTGATTGACAAGACACAGCTCTAAATCCTAGTGGCACCATTTAGTTGTGGAGTACATTTGTTGTGAAAAAGCAACACTCAGGTTTGCGTTCTCTCTCCCTGCAAGAAGGATGCAACCCAAGAAATGTCTGTGCACCTGGGAGATCCTTGTCAGTTGGACTGTCCTCTTCTGTGGGTGGCCAATGGCTGCTGTCTTGACTTGTTTCCTTTTCAGACTTTGCACTCCTTGGCATGCTGCCTGTCTCTCTGTATGTGTACAGTATGGAGCACATGGTTGGTACTGTCCCTCAAGTTGCTGGAGAGAGCTGCTGAGATGCTCCTGCCTTTGGGATCTACAGATGCAAAGTGCTTATAGAACAAACTGGGGGTCGTGGTCCAAGTGAGCCCTTCAATTCACTGTGACCACAACAGGAGTCATAGGATCTCAGTACCTTGCATGATCAGGCTAACAGCATAATGCCATAGCAGGTGATTTGAGAGATTGTAATGGGCCCTTCTCATGCCATATAATTCAAAAACAGCTGTTCACCCCATGTGCAGAAAGAGCAATCAGCCTGAAACACAGAGACTGTGGGACCCCAGGCCATGGCTGGCAGGCCTGATGGGGAAGTGATTAGTCAGGTGACCTGGGGGGAAGGGGAGCATGGTTATAGGCTTTATAAGGCATCCTTGCTGAGGCCTCAGTCCGGCTTTGACCAGCCAGGAGGAAGGAGCTCCAGACCACAGAGGCCAAAGGAAGCTCAGCAATGTCTTGCACTGACATGAAGTCATGTATATGTTTACCCTTTATTACTGTGTAAGCCTGGAGGACCAAAAGCAGCTCTGAGTGGGTTTTGAAGCCACAGGGAGTGCCTGGGGAGTCTCTGCTACTGTGTGGGGAGTGGAGATGGGGTCAGACTGCAAACTAGGGACCATGGCTTGCAGTCCAAAGGACTGGGTAGGCAGGCCCAGAGACTAGGAGGACAGAGAGTGAGAGAGAACCTGAAGCTCAAAGGACTATGTAGGTGGGCCCAGGGCCCATGAAAGCCCTGGGGTCATAGGAAGAGGAGCTGAATCCTACAAGGCTGAGGAAGGCCTGAACCCCACCCAGGGGAACGCAAAAGACAAGGAAAGACCAATTGTTTGGTGATCAGAGCGGAGCAGGCTCCCAACACCTAACTGGTTTCTGGGACTCATGGTCTAGGTGAGTCCATCAATTCACCATAACTGCAACAGGAGTCAAAGGAGGTCAGCACCCTGCAGGATCAGGCTGACAGCAAGTTACCTGAGCAACTGATTCAAGAGATCTACAAAAAAAGGAGAGACTTTCTCCAAAGCCTCTGCTTATGGCAGTTGTTCACAGATTAGCAGAACCAAGGTGCCCCAATGGGGTCCAATTCTGACTGGGTTATACACTGGGCAAAAATGTATCCTAATGCAGTCCCTTTCCTGAAAAGCCTATAAGGAAACCCTTCATAGTACCTGAAAATTGGGCTTTCAGCAAATTTGCAGCTTCTTCAGAAAGCAGCTGCTTCTCTGCCAGCTCATTGATGACATTGATTACATTTCCTTTTTGGCATGGGAGGCCCCTTCGTGTTGTAAGGAGTTTTCTTGTGGGTGACTGTAATATTTCTTCCGTCTCTGTGTTTTGCTCAGCAGCTGTCACACTCTTTAAACTTTAGTTGTGGTCTTTGGTAATGGCCTCCTTATCAAGGACGTGGGTTAACAGTGGCTGCTTTAATGCTTTCTCAGATGTTCTGTTTCTAGGGCGTGTACTCAGAGATTCCTGAAGGAAAAAGGAAAAAAAGGATCTGGAGGCTACTACAGGGGTAAAATAACCCAAACGGGCACATGGTTACAGTTAGCTAACAATGCAGCCCAAGTTTTTGGTCTTGTAACTATTCTTTGACTAACTGGATCTCTCTCCAATGTATGGGGAACACTAGGTAGTGTACAAGGTACTCTGCCATAAGAAGGGTATTGTTATTTTGAAAAAAACACAACATAGGACAAAAGATGCTGTCGGGTCTCTAGAATCTAAATTGCAAGGAAAGACTGAGAGAAATGGTCTCACCATTGTTGCTATAAAAAGAGCCTTGCCAAATGAAAAGCAAAGCTATGGTAGGCAGTGGAAAACTGTACAAATGTGAGGAGAGATAAGAAGCTTGGAGACCATCTGAAATTTGGGGGGGGCAGATGTATTTAGGAAAAATAAAGGTATAATAAAGTCTATAATATAAAAATAGGTGTGACAGATGAGCATAAAGATGCAATTTTAAAAGACCAGCTTTGGTAGCCTTGCAGTCTCCTGAAAATACCAGTTAACATTTAAATTCAGTGATAAAATAGTGTCAGTTTGTAAGTTGGTTACAGTCAGTCAATCAATAACTAATTAACAGAAATACATCTGGCATGAATTGGAGAAAGAGCTATTATTCATCAGCTCATATTATAACAATTGGATAAAACGGAGCATCATACAACACTTTTGGGAAATAAGGTCTTCACACCTGAGGATTTCACACCTCCCAACACTGTTGTGAGGTGCTTTTTTAAAATTCTACATAGACAAATTTGGGCATTCATTTTTGGAAAGAAATGCAACCTCCCCCTCCATATTTTCCTAATTTTGGTTTCTTTTTCAAAAGTGTCTGACAGGAACCCACCTACAGAGATTTAAATTTGTGCTGCTGTGGCTTTAACCAAGTTGCAAAACATTTGTTGTTATTTTATCTTTATTTTTAAAGTTTCTATGCATTTTCAAGCATGGCAATTTTCTTAAAAATTCTTTTCAGCTACCTTGTATTGAAAAAGAGAAGGCACAGCTCCTTTCCGTAATTTTCTTCTCATGCCATATGATTCAAAGTCTGTTTCTGCAAAATGTGTGGAACACAAGATGGCTCCAGGCCCTGGAATCCAAACCTTTTTGCTTTTAGGGTCTGCTCGATTAACAGCAAGGATCCATTTATTACGCTGTGTGGCATCGATGGGAAACCTGCAACAAAAGTAGCAGAGCTGTCTTATAAATTACACATCCATCAGAGCCAAATTCTGCCCCTACATGGTATAAAGCCCATGTGACTCCATTGAGTCCAAGATGGCCTTCTAAATATACAAAGGTGTGTGAAACAGAAAGCGTCCTTTATATACCAACATTTGGGTTTTGGCAAGTTGACCGTCATAAAGTTCCTTAACTAGGGAACAGGTCAGAGCATTCCTAATATCATTTTAACTCTGAAAAATTGAGGTTTGGCATACTGAAATGGCACTGACTTGGTCTCTAACAAAAAGTAATTTTGTTGGAGAAAGATAAGGAGAAAATCTGCTGAAATATTGTGTAGTCTTTTTTGATTGAAGAGTCCTTTCCTCCCTGTCTGCAAAATCCATTATTTTTTCTGAAAAGCTGAATTTTGAAATGCTAGTACTGGAGTGATTTGTAGCAATAAATGGTCCAGGAAATAAGATAAAAGAAAGCGATTTTTTTCTGGGTAATATCTTCTACTGGGCCAGCAGCATGGTTGAGATAAAGTAAGGGTGGTATTAGAAATTCATCTCAACACTTACTGAGGCCAGTTAAAGCACAGGAAAATGCAGATTCAAGCAGTTTAGTACCTGAGGGCTCCTGTACACATGCAGGGAGCAGACTCAATTGAATCTGCTGGAACATGGTAATTACTGTGCTCCAGCAGACTCCAGCGTCATGTGCATCAGTGTCCCCGCACTGAAAAACGGCAACAGAGTGCTTTGAACTAAAGCTCATCAGAGCGAGCACTGCCCCTCCCTGTCTCCTGGAGCACATCTATAAATGCCCTAAGTGCCTTCACAGTCTTGCAAAATTGCTCCCTTTTGGGTTACGGTGCTAACTTCAGTATGGACTAACTTTAATCCCTCGCTAACTTTAATCCCCAATGATTTGCAACCTTTGCTAGTGAACGTGTGACTACTTATGCAAGCTTTTCATGCAACACATTCAAGGACCTAAAAAAGGTCTTGCATTAGAAAGCTTGCCTATGTCTCCCCAACTATACAGCTGATCTAATAAGAGAGCTCACCCACAAGAAGCCTTGCCTCTTGAGTTTTGAAATTTCTCAAAATGAAACTAGCACGTTATTAAATCTAAAACTAACCAACGGAAGTTAATTTTCATGCAGTGCGTCAGTCAAGCATGGAACTCTCAGCCACCAGATGTTGTGGAAGCTACCTGTTTAGCCAGACTCAAAAAAGGGAATAGACAAATTCTTGGAGAAAAGGGACATCAGTAGCTATTGAGTACAGGAAACGGGGCCATAGCCTCTGAATCAGAATTTCCTAGAACATAAATGCTGGAGTCTGCAAGTGAGAGAGGAACAGTGGGAAACCCCTGGTCATGTCCAAGTCACACTCTCTTTCAGCATCTGTTTTCTGCCATTGGGACACAGGGCCAGATGGTCTGACCTAGGTGCATCTGGCCCCATGAACGTGTGCCCCTGGAGGCTGGGTGGGCACAGCAACTGCTTGCAGGCAGTGGCAAGCAGGGTGCTCCCACAGATGTCCACGGCAGTGTAACAGCAGGAGGGGGTGTGGGCAAGGGGGGTAAACACCAACTGCAGACGTTGCCAGCAGCGTCAGTGGTGGCCAGCGGTAATCAGCAACTGCCCGCAGACACTGCCGGCATATGTACACGCATATGTAAACACACACATGGACAAATGTGTATGCACACATGCATACATACACATATACATCTGCGTGTGCGCACGTATGTGCATACATAGCACCTGTGCAGAGGTCATGTCAAGGCAGTAAGCGCCCGTTCCATGCAGCTGGACTCAGCGTGGGCTCCAGGGCGCTGCCCGCCCCCACGCAAATCCCGAGTTTCCGGAGTCGCGCGACCCGGAGACGAGACGAGACGGGGCCGCGCCGCGCCGTACTCACTGGTGGAAGGAGATGCCCCGCTCCCGGCTCCGCCCGTTGTCCCGCGCGCTGCAGCCCAGAGCGGAGCAGCTGCGGGTCAGGGCCCACGAGCGGCTGCGGCACACGCTGCCCCCCGCAGCGCCACTTTCGCTCATAGGAGCCAATCATGTGATTGGCTAATGCCGTTCCTGTGCCGCTTCTCATTGGCTCGCTCCTCCTTTACGTCTTGCCATGAAAGGGAGCCTTTCATTGGCCGCGAATTCCACCCCACCTTTATGTTGAGGAGCGGAAGAAGGAAGCGGGGTGCGGAGGGGAAATGAAGGAAGGGCCATGAAGCCAATCAACTGCGGCGGAAGAGGAGGGGTCAGCCAATGACTAGCAGGACCTCACAGAGCCAATGGGAGCGGGGCTCTGTCCGGATATATATTTGGGGGCGCAGTGACTTAGTTTCTCTGCTGGGGTGGGCATGGCTGGTTGTTGGAAGTATGACTTAGTTTCTCTGCTGGGGTGGGCATGGCTGGGTGTTGGAAGTGTGCTAGTAAGGCCCGTGGGGTAGGGAAGGGGTGGGAGCGGGAGTTCATATCCTCTGCTGCTGGGGGGTCGCGGCGGGAGGGAGCCTCCTCGCTGTTGTACTGCTTTCTGTTTCCATTGACTTGTTATTTCCGTCTCCCAGGGCGCGCCAGAGCCCGCTGCTCCCCTGCAGGAGAGGGTGTCTGGCCAAGCCGAGGGCCTGGCGCTGGCCTCGGGCTGCAGCCCCCGTGGAGATGTCTGACTCCAGGTCATTCCCATAGGCCGGGGAGATCTCTCTAATGAGAGACGCCCGGGGGAGGAGTCTGGCAGCGTGGCCCGAGCTGGTACAGGTGGGAGTGCTGTGGTGACTTGCTGTGGGGTTCCCCCGTGCAGCCTGCTGTGCTGGCAGCTGGGGAAAGGGGTGAGTTGGGAGCTGTAGAAAATTGCTTGGTCCTTATGCTGGCTCTTGTGCTGCCTGCAACATGTTCTTGCTTGCTAGTGTATGTGTGCAAGTGTTGTGACTTACCCCTAATCTTTCACTGCCCAGTATACCCTCTGACCATAAGGCTGCATGCTTGCCTCCGAATAGAAGCTGCTATGGCAGAAATCCCTTCTGTTTTGTCCTGAATATATCTTTGTCTGAGGCGCAAGTCCTTCCTGGCCTTCTTAGCTCTGAACATTGTCTTAAATGAGCATTATGGCTCGGCTTCAGGAACTGGCTGAATACAAGGTGAGAAGCTTTTGTCCAAGATGTTCAAAACATTGTCTGTTAAGGCCTAGCACAGTATCCCAATTGAACTGGAGCAGCATTACCCAAAGCTTGTGTGTGGAGTACATATCTTTTCTCCCTCCAGTCCTCCAACTGAATTATGTGGCTTAAATGGCATGTGCATCTAAGCTACATGCTGTGAATATGCTGTTTTTGCCTGGGGTCTTGTTGCTTCCCTTCCCCTCTTCCTACCCTCTTCAGGAGGATTTGATTTCTGTAAGTCGGGACTGCATCTTTTTAAAACTCTTGCCTGTAGAAGGGCTTTCTAAAGCAGCTGTGCTAGGTACAGTTGGCCCTGATTATCTCCTACCTAATTCTTTGCTCCTTCAGAAACGTAACTGTGATACTTGTTTTGTATTTGACTTCAATGTCAAATTCTGGAGCCGGCACTCAAAGTGCCAAACTTTTAAATGTTTCCACTCTTGTTAATGCTTTAGACTGTTCCTTCATTCCTCTCTACTTCTTTGCCATAACTGATGCAAGAATTTACACAACTGGAAATGGGAGAGGGTGGGGGTGCATGCATGTGGCTTCAAGAAGAATTGCTAGACTTGACCAACTGGCTCTTCTTGCTACACTATTGAGCTAGTGTAAAAGATGACTTTCAAACACCGGTGTTGCACTTCAACATGCTGTTGGTGTGGGGTTTTTTTATTACTTTTGCCTACTGTCCAATGATTAAAATCTACCACTGCTGTTCACATCATGAAACACTGTGATTAGCACTTAACTGGATGAGGACATGGGTAATATAGCCTACCAAGATTTTACTCTGTAATATCTCAGCTCTTTATTGGAATTGACTTAGGCCTAAATAAAATTTGTTTCTTTCCAGGAACTAGTGGTTTGGGTGTTTTTGCTTCCTGTTGTAATAGCTCAGTTGAGACTTGCTTCAGTTCTCACTGTGGATGGAGAGGTAAGTTCTATATTGCTTGTTAAATCTTGTAAATTTGAAGTCTCTGTCTAGATATGACTTGGAACAGTGAGGGATTTTCATCCAGTGGCTTGATCTGATTTTGTTGAATCATTTTATTTTATTTTTCACTTCACTTATTTCATCACTTGTTGGGATATGAACTGCTTTCCCTATTGCTCAACTTCTTAGTTGGTTTAATATAACTTGAGGGAAGATTTGACACGAAGTCCTTAGGTCTGTGGAAGGCAATGAGCAGTTGCAGATGAAATGATCTCACCATAAGTCTGCATGCTGAATTTCACTGCTTTTTCTTTTCTGAGACGGGTTTAAATTCTTCTGTTCCAACTAGCTACTCCATAAATGTGTTTATTTAAGAAGAGTTTGGCTATTTGTTTTGGTGAGCTAAGGCAATAGAATATATAGATTTGATCTTCAGTAAACTTGGTTTGGACCTACACTGAGCGTGATTTAATCAAGGTGGCTTTGGTTTTCTAGGTACCAGCAGGGAGCTGTGAAGTTTAAGTTCAAATGGATCACAGTGTCATCTTCAAAAAGTGAGATCATGGAAAAAAAGCTTTCAGAGTTAAGAGGGGCTTAAAGTTGGTCTGATTGCTCTTAAAGTGTACAAACAAGATATTCAAGCACTTGTTACAGCAGCCCTCATGAGCTTTCCTCTACTGATGAATAAAACCTGCTCTTAGTTGAAATGCATGGTGCCTTGGTTTCATCCTTGATCACTTCTTTTGCGGTGCTTGTTGGGGTGGGCAAGATGGCAGTACCAAGTCAACACCTCAGCATCTTGCTCGGGGGGGCGGGGGGAACTACAGTGGGCACTCTGGGTGAAGGATTCAGCTGCGGAGGGGATTGCTGTTCCTCATAACTGTATAATGTTCTTGCCATTTTTTTAATCAAAATGTTTTCAATAAAAGAAATGAACACTTGCTCCAGGAGACTTGGTTGTCCTTTGAACCTAAGTAGATATCCCCTCAAAATGGTAGTACATTGCAAGGGCTTAAGTAATAGGCACTCTCCTTGGTAGAAATGCCTGCTGCCTTAGTTTCTCTCCCTTTTTAAATCTTTGGTCACTTCTGTGGTGCTTGTTGCAGCAGCAGGAGCTGTCCCAGTCCACCCCCTGGGGCAGACGAGCTTCTTTGGGGTAGGTGTGATACCTTTTTGTGAGAGAGTGACTGACTAAACAGCTGCGAAAGTGTTCTGTGCAAGCTTTCAGGCACAGGGGAAGTTAAATGCCTCAATTTATATGCCGCGGGGTGGGGGGAGTGTATTAGGCTGAGGGACTCGGCTGCAGGGCAGTCCCAGCTCCTCACAACTGGCCAAAGTCTTGTAACATAACACGTTTATTATTATTACTATTAAATAAAACGCCCTCTTCTCGGTTGAACTACACGGTGCCTGGGTTTCATTCCGAGTCTGGCTGTTGCAGCAGGGGCTGAGCTTCCAGCCCCAGTTCAAACTGGGGGCGGCGGAGTGCGGCCCCGGTCAGGGCTGGCCAGAGGCGGCGCGGAGGGCGCCCCCTCCTGGCCGGGCCCCGCCGGCG